CTCATTTGCATATCCATATAAAAATAAATATCGCCCAAAACATAAGAGTCTAAGGAAATTTCAAGGCAACAACAGAAGGAAGCATCCGGATGTTTTAGGACTTCTCAACAGTTAGCAGTGGGGACGGTAATACAAAGATGTCTTCAAAAGTCTAAACAAAAATTATTTCTAAATTTAAACTCCATATCCTACTAAGCAGTAAATTAAGAAGATAAAGTTGAACTCTTACATATGTACAGTCCAAAAAAAAGTAATTACTTATGACTCACTCTTTCTCAGAGGTTGCTATGGTTTCTACAAGGTTAGCACAATGAAGTAAATGAAGGAAGATTATTAAAGATCTGAACATTTCTGGGATCCAACACAGGAGAGAGCAGGGAAGAACTCTGGGGGGGTATCAAAGGGAGCCCCAGCGTGGCAGTGAGACTGGCAGGAAACTGTGAACAGATAGAAGCTCCTGGAGAAACCTTTCTGTCTGTCTGTCTGTCTGTCTGTCTGTCTGTCTGTCTTCCTTCCTTCCTCCCTCCCTCCCTTTCTTTCTTTCCTTCTTTGTTTCTTCCTTTTATCTTTTATTTCAGATGAAAAGGATAGAAAACTATCCCATAAATCCTACACTGGGAAACTTATAAGGAGAAACCGTTGGAACAAGTAGGAAATATTAAAAATAAATAAACAGAAAGTCTTTATTTGATAAGATTCTGGCAATCAACAAAGCCAGAATTGACATAAAGTTATGAAAGAAACAATACTGATAACTACATATGGCATGATTACATGTCAGCAGTAAATTGTACTTCAGTTCTCACATTATAAAACCTGAAGGCTAATATTTTAAATTATGATTAATCTGTGTTGGAAGTAAAAGGAGAAGCCAGAGATAGAATGGCTTATGTCTCTTTACATTGTAACAGAAACCCACAGTATTAGTATACAATATATTCTATTGACATAGTAAGATACAGATATAAATATTTAATTTTTAAATTATACAAGTAAATGATAGCAAAAACAACTCTCACCTGTGTGTATGTGTGTGTCTGTAGGTGGATATGTGCACACATGAGTGCAGGTGCCTGCAGAAGCCAAAAGAGAGTGTTAGATCCACTGAAATTACCAGAGGTCGTGAGTCATCTGATGCGGGTGCTGTGACCAGAACTCGGGTCCTCTGCAAGAGTGAGCAGCAAGTGCTTTTTAACCACTTGACCATCTCTCCATCCCTCTGAGATTTATTTGATGGCTCCATCATTGAGTATAGTTATCTGTGTCAACTGACTGTTATTGTTGTTTGGAGACAGCATCTCACTCTGTACCCTAAGCTGGCCTCAAACTTGTAACAGTGCTTTTGCCTCAAGCCTCCTAAGTGCATGGACATAGGAATCAGGCAGCACATCCATCATTAAAATCTGCTGTGGAATGTCATTCTATATGCTATGAATGTGTGTTGCTCTGATTGGTTGATAAATAAAATACTAGTTGACCAGTAGCCAGGCAGGAAGTATAGGCAGGACAAGCAGACAAGGAGAATTCTGGGACGAGAAAGGCTGAGTCAGGAGTCTCCAGTCAGACACAGAGGAAGCAAGATGACAAGGTAGAACTGATAAAAGGTACCAAGCCATGTGGCTAAACACAGATAAAAATTATGGGTCAATTTAAGTGTAAGAGCTAGTCAGTAATAAGCCTGAGCTAATGGCCATATAGTTCGTAATTAATATAAGCCTCTGTGTGTTTATTTGGGTCTGAGCAGCTGCAGACTGGGCACGACACAGGGAAACTTCTGACTACTAAAGTCTTTTATATCCTTGCTGATGTTTTCTTATGTTCTCATTGTGGTGACATATTGTGTACCCCAATAAAGCTTACCTGGGGATCAGAGGACAGAGCCAGCCACTACATTAGATGTCAGTTCAGGCAGTGGTGGCACACACCTTAATCCTATCATTCAGGAGGCAGGGATCCATCTGGATCTCTGTGAGTTCAAGGCCACAGTGGGCTTCATGAGAGAAACAGAATCAGGTAGTGGTGACACATGCCTTTAATCCTAGGAAGTAATGTAGGAGGACACAAAAAGATATGTAAAGCATGAGGAAATAGGAACTCTCTATCTCTTGAGGCTGAGGATTTTGTAGAGGTAAACTAGTGGCTGGCTGTTCTGCTTCTCTGATCTTTCAGCTTTCACCCCAATATCTGGCTCTGGGATTTTTATTGTAAGAGCTTTTAAGATTCGTGTTACTATACTGTAAAGATTTGTCACTTGAATTGGTTTAATAAAACACTGATTGGCCAGTAGCCAGGCAGGAAGTATAGGTGGAGAGAGCAGACTAGGAGAAGGCTGGGAAGAGGAAGAACTGAGTCAGGATTCACCAGCCAGATGGAGAAGAAGCAAGATAAGAATGCTGAACTGAGAAAAGGTACCAAGCTATGTGGCTAAACATAGATAAGAATTATGGCTTAATTCAAGTGTAAGAGCTAATCAGTAATAAGCCTGAGCAAAGGGCCAAGCAGTTATAGTTAATATAAACTTCTGTGTGGTAATTTGGGAAGTGGCTGCTGGATATTTGGGAGTTGTTGGCAGAACAGAAACTTCCACCTACAATTTGTTCTTTTAATTACTGACAGAGGGATGTCAAAAAAAATGCCAGCTATAATTGTGATTTACCTACTTAGTTTTGCTTGTCAGTTTTTGCCCTGTGAATTTTAAAGTTTCCTTGTTAGGTGCTACATGTTAAGGGTTATTATGAATCACTCTTCATTTCCTCCAACACCTTTCTCTCGAAATCTAACCAATCTGATGTATTATATTAGTTCTTTATGCTGAATTTTTGTATGATGTATTTATTTTTCATCTACTGGTATCTTTATATTTGGAGTGTATCTCTTGTAGGTATCATATACTACTCTTTTACTAATGTTAGCAGGAAATGTCTACCTTCTAGTTAGAATACTGTTTGGGCCACTTACATTTACTGAAACTATGTTGGGATTTAAATTAACCTTCTCGACGCTTATTTTTATTTTGTTCCCTCTGTTTGTTTTGTTCCCAGCATTTGCTTGTTTCCAGCAGTCCTTGGGGTTAAAATGGAACTTTAAAAAAGATATCTTGTCTCGGGGTTGGGGATTTAGCTCAGTGGTAGAGCGCTTGCCTAGCAAGCGCAAGGCCCTGGGTTTGGTCCTCAGCTCTGTTAAAATATATATATATATCTTGTCTCATTTTTCACAATTGACTCCTTAGTTATACCTCTTTTGTATTAATGATTTTATGATTGTTCAAAAGGCTAATAACTTGTATCCTTAGCAAAGTCTACTTGGAGCCCAAATTTCACGCTTCATATTTGACCTCCGACCTTTCTTCTCCACCCTTCCCTTCACAGCTGTCATCACATTCCACTTTGTGTCTCCCACGTATCACTTCACAGACGCAATAACGTCAGGAAAGACAATCCCATCCCTTCATCCACCCTGTCCATTGTACTGCTTCTCCAACATCTTTTCCTTTATATAGATATTATAAAGCATCTTTAAATAATAATTAATTTTGCATTAATGGGAATTTATGAAGTGAAAAGTAGCCATATTTTAAATACACTGCCTTATTTGCCATTTCTAGGCCTCTTCTTTCCTCACTGAGATCCATTTCTTCTAAACCACTTTCTGTTAGCCTGAAGAACATCCTTCAGCACTTCTCATGATGCAGTTGCTGACAATGAACTCCTTAAGCTTTTGTTTACCTCTACCTGTGTTTCTCCATTTTATTAAAAAAATGGTTTTTTTTCTAGCTCTAGAATTACGGCTTATTAAGGTTTTTCTTTGCTTCTCTTTTGGCTTTCTTGTTCATTTTAGTATTGGTATATCATCCTTGGCACTCCATTATGTATCATAGGTTTCAGTTCCCTGATTCAAGAGTCTACACCTTTGATGGGTCTCAGTTTGCCCTGTCTAGGTGGGAGTTTACTGCCTGAAGTTTGGGTTCTTTTCTAGACTTGCAATTCACATTTAATTTCAAGAATTTTTAATGTTAGGATTTTTTTTGTCATTATATTCTTGATCTTTTTTTCTCTCTATCCTTTTTAGGATATCTTTTCCAGCAGGGTGGTGGTGGTGCACGCCTTTAATCCCAGTATTCAAAAGGCAGAGGCAGGTGAATCTCTGTGAGTTCAAGTCCAGCCTGGTCTACAGATCAAGTTCCAGGACTGCTAAGGCTACACAGAGAAAACCAGTCTCACCAAAAACAAAAAGAAACAAACAAACAAAAAAACAAACAACAACAACAACAACAAAACCCCAACAGATATTTACTTCCATCACGCGTATATTGAATCATTTGTTCCACAGGTTCTAAGGTTCTGTCTACTTTTTATTCACTTTTCCTTTCTGTGCTTTATATTTAAAAAGTTACTATACTTTTGATTTTAGCATTTCCATTTATAAGTATATATGTATGTATTTCTTCTATTTTTCTTCCGCTGACATTCCTTATTTACTCATTAAGGTATATTTTTCTGTAGCTCTTATTTTTCTGTTTTCTTTTCATATGCTTATAATAGCTTCTCTAAAATTCATACATGGTGCCTTAGTTTCTTTTCCTGTTGTTGTGACAAAATATTCTGGCAGAAGCAACTTAAGGGAGAAACATTGTCTGTCATGGCCGGGAAGTCAAGACAGCAGAAACCTGATGCAGCTGGCCACACTATGTCTGTGGTCAGAAAAAGAGAGCAATGAACATATGCATGATAACTCTCAGGAGGGCTTTCTCTACTCTTACACAGATCTCATGCTTTAGGGAATGGTGATACCCACAGGGGGCAAATCTCCCCACCTTAATTAATTAATTAATCAAGATATCTTAATTAATCAAGATAATTCCCACACACACTTGCTCATAGACCAACGTAATGTAGACAATCCCTCAGGAGACTCACTTTCCAGATAGCTCTGGACTCTGAAAAATTCACAGTTAACACTAATTATCACACATGGTAAATCCTATATTTACACCACCCTGGGGCTATTTCTCATCTGCTTCTTCCTGTCTTAATTATTACAATAGTTAGGGGCCTCATTTTCCTATGTCTTTGAAAACTCAATAATTTTTTGACTATTTTATATTATCCATGATATAATACAGAAACTTTGTGTTGTTATATTCATTAAGAAAACGTTACATTTTGTTGTAGCATACAAATCAGTTATTGGCTGACCACCATTGAACTCATACTTCTTAGAGTAGTTCTGTGGGAAACCTTCTGGCTTCTTGTGAAAGATTTATATTTCACAGAGCAAGTTGGGAGACTCTCTTTAAGGATTGGTCCTTATCGTTAAGTGAGGCCTTGATCACAAAGGTAGATGCTTAAGTTGTTAACCCGACATTGACTCCTCCTCTAGCTGGGGGAGATCTCCAGTTCCAAATCTTTATTATCTCTCGTTCACAGTCAGGTAGCAGCTGCCTTCTGATAAGCCTGCGTAGTCTCTCTGCATTTGAAAGTCTCAGCAAGAACTCGGGTGTACCCTCTTCCAAGGTTTCACCCCAACTCTGAGGCTCCTTCTTTCTGGCACGCTCTGCTTTGCAGACTTTGGCCACTTCCAATGCCAAAACATGACCTGTGTTTCTTCAGCCCAGGAGAATGACATTACTCGGCTCAGATCACACTCCTGGCCCCTGCATTCGGAGGAAAATGTCTCCCAATCGGAAATCTATAGCAAAGTGATTCTTACGTGTTTTTCTCCACCATCATGGTTTATATTGCCTGTTTTCCAGTGTTTCATGGTAGTTACTGTATTCTGCCCAGTGCTGTGATTGCTAAGCACCAGAGTGATGCTCTAACACTACCTATTCCATTTTAGATGCAAGCAGAATCAAGCCACAGTTGCAACTGAAGAACAAAAATAAAAAAGTATAATCTCATACATTATTCCCCATCCAATTGTTCAACTTTGTAATATTCATATTTATAGAATATTACAAGAATACAAATGTTGGATTCATTAAGGAGTCAATATATTAAACCTCAAAACTAAACCAGTCAGACAGACTTGGCCTTTCAAAAGCACTGTGTTCTTCTGCATTGGCTGTTAGGCTGAATAATCAGCCAAAATGTCCTTCTCTAGTTCCACAGGCCACAAAGCCATTTGGGTGTTAGTCTTAATTTATAGACTTCTTTCAGCTTTGCATCATGGAGAAGACTAGAAGAAAAAGAAAAAGAAAAAAGCATTTAAACAGCCTACTATTTTTATAAAGAATAAAGTCCTGCCAAAATGGCAGATAGAATAAGTCAATAGAAGTTAACAACCTCCTATCTGAATACTGAATAGCCCCCCCCCCCTGGCTTTTTGAAACAGGGTCCCTCTGTATAGCATTGGCTATCCTGATACTCACTCTGTAGACCAAGCTGGCCTCAAACTCACAGAGATCCTCTTGCCTCTGCCTCCCAAGTGCTGGGATTTAAAGGTGTGTGCCACCCCACCCCCCCAGCTGAATACTGAATATCTTAACTAAGCCTCTCTCAAACATTCTAGAAAGTCAATAAGCTGTTGTTATTATTCTCATTGGCAAAAAAAAGTAAGAATCAAATACATTAAGTAACATGTCCAAAATTGCATAGGTGGATGATGACGGAACTCAGAAAAGCAGAGCCTCCGTGAATCAACTCACCAGCTGTGCTCTGTGCTCAAGTGCCTCAGGCTATCTCTAGGAACAAGAGGACACATAGCCAACTATGAGGTGCAGCCTGACAGAAGCCAAATCATTCATTCTCTACTTTATCTCAAGGTCTTAATTCCGATATTAGAATTAAGCTTAGCTTGAATCATCAATGACCCATTGAAGCGGAAACCTAACTATCTTACATTTGTACAGCATTTCCCAATTTTCAATTCTGACTTATATTTATTAATGACACCAAACATTTACTGCAAATACTCTTCTATGTGGAAAACACTATTTGAAGTGTTTTTTTATATACTATATCTATCTACACAAAAAATTCTATGGGAAGAGTACTTCATTTGCATTTCACATATGAAGAAGTAAAAATCCATCAGCATTAATATCTTGTATACAGTGATATAACTAGAATTTGGAGTTGATCCAGAATTCTTGCTGCTAACCAGCATGTGTTTGCTCTGCTATGTGGTCCAATCTCAAATCCTGTAAGATAAAGGTATTGTCAAGTTACCCTTGTAGATGAATAAATAAAAATAGATTAAATTTTCTTGACTTGTTGAAGGTTCCCTCAAGTTAATTATTATTGACTCTTAATCAGCATTGGGACTCAGGACTCCTGGTCAACTTTACAATATTCTAAACCAAAAATCTTACTACTTAAGTCATTATCAGTGAAAAAGAGATTGGGGCAAAGGCAGACAGCTGTTACAAATTTTTGAGAGCTGAGGGAAAATTGAGATTTTTTTTAACCTTCTAGGTTATAATAGAAGGAAATTTTATTTTGAAAATATTCACTTATTTATTAATTTTGTTCCAAACATTATTCATGGTGCAGGGATACATCTATGAACCAAACAAAATTCCTGCCTTCACATAATTTGCTTTGTAGTGCAATGTAAGGAAACGTCACTGCATCACAGAATGAAACAATCCTAGTGGGAAGAAAGAGGAGCCATTTGAAATAGGATTGAACTGGACTCAAAATTTATTTTTGTTTTCCCCAAGTCTACCCTTCAATAGCTTACTTATTTACCATGTTGTGTTAAATATCTACAACACAATCTATGGGCACATAAAATATGCATAATGAGATTTTTCAAAATACACACTATTTTGTAAATTACATACTATCAAAGGAAAAGTTAGGTGGTTCCTAAATAATAAACTAGGTGCACATGGAAAGCAGTTTGGGTAGCATATTTGCATGCATAAGGCCTCTGGGAATACTGTCTTGGCCTTCAACAATAGAAAGTTAGGATATATAAAGAAAATATTTTGAGACTCTTTTTACTGAGTCTTCTTTTAGAGTCTCAGCAGTTCTTGCTACTGGAAAGTAGACTGACAGAACAGATGGGGGCCCCATCAGGACACAGGCGGAGGAGCTGACAATAGCCCTTTCTACAAACCTCCTTAACAAGATCTAGCTCCCCCAGCTCTCTACTTAGCGTTACTTGAACAAACTCCACAAATGTGACAAGAGATGGATCCTTGCTCAGCTCAGGGGGGAAACTGCTCAGCTCTGAATCTTTAGCCTGAGGGCTTGGGTACAGCCGTTCTCGCTCCGAGGCCTCCCGATCTTGCTACTATTGGTACTTTTCAGTCATACCAAGCAGGCTAGAACTACGGAAGAAGCTTGATTCAAGCAGGCAAGAACTACGGAAGAAGCTTGATGTTTGCTGTCCGATCCACACCAACTTTTTCAGATCTCTCTAGGGCCACCCTTAACTTTCTAGAGTCAGATGAATCACAATACCACTTTCTTTCCGGATGTCAGATGCTGTTGACCTCACCCAAGCCAACCTGGAATCCAGAGGGTGCTACTTGGTTGGCCTAAGGTTAAGTTTTCCACTGAAAAGCAGATCAAACCCCTGTTTGATTGAAGGCCTGGGGAATGAATTAATTAGGGCATTTCCACTCAAGAGGTGGATCTGGGGAAGTGGGAAAGTAAGCAGATGAGTAGTCAGTTGAGGAAGCAAAAAATAAGGAAAGGAATAAGTGTTAGGAGAGAACACAGGAGTCCAGGCAGGAAAGCAGGATCATTGGTAACAAATCTGCTAGCTCTTTGATTCCCCCAGGGCTGGTCTTGAAGTCAGTCCTTCACTAATCAGGGCCTGAATACTTACCTGCTATGCACTATAGATCGGTAATGGGAACTAGAGGTCAAGTGGGAGGTGAGTGTGGGAGATCCCAGATGAAATGCCAAGATCACACCTCAGGAATGAAGGACCAATTACTCCCAGCAATGGAGACTGCCCCGAACCTTCCCCAGCCTGAAGAAACTGCCTACCAAGATCACATCATCACATCTGCTTCCCAACGGATTTCTGTTTCTAATGACTGGTTAACACAGTAGAAGGAGCCCCACTCAGGAACACTTTCACTCTTTCTAAAATTCCTCATATGGTTGGCTCAGCCTCTGTTAACACTGCCCAACACTCAGTTTCTTCCTCTGCCCAATCCTCCCTTCTTTCCGTCCCTTCAACAGATTTTCTCCAAGCAATTCCTTAAAAATTTCTCACTTGCCTACTTTCACCTCAGAGTCTGCTTCCTGTGGACCCCCACCTGCAATAGCCAGGCTGGGAGGGTCCCACTTCCCAAATGAACTAACCCTATCCTACACCTTTAAATAGGTGAGAGGTCTTTTGGGTTCCTGGGCTGCTGGACATGAATGTGGATACTTGCTACTCTGCATACATTTTCTCAGTGACAGAGCAAATAAAAATAGGCTTAGGGGGGCCTCCTCCCCTGAGAGATTCCATGGATGCCCAAGCAAGTCATTGGTGGATTGATTCTTGGCTAAAAGAACCTAGAAAACTGAGTAATAACAGAGCTAAACTATCAAATCTAGAGCATTTCCAGTCTGGAGCTTGGATTCAACCCAGTGTTTTATCTTAGTCTTTCAGTGAGAGCTGAACTCCTTCACTGACCCTAAATCTACTCTACTTTCTGGTTGTAGCCTGTTGGATTCCAGCATCTTGAGTTTGACAGCTTTAGCCTTCCTGAAGTTGAATTTGCTCCTTATAGATGTTGGCTGACCTGGAACTAGAGAACTAAAAAGGCTCTTGTGAAGTTATCACCTTGGGGATAAATTATCTTAAAAAAAAGGGGGGGAGGGAATCAGTAAGACTTCCAGTGTAGACAAAAATGTCACTATAAAATGACATCATCGCCTTCAAGAAGTGATAAACGAACAAGTCCAGAGTTACTTTTGGAGCATGCTTTGGACAAATTCGTAGGATTCTGCTAGTTACTAAAAACTGTGAGGAAGAATGTGAGCATAACATAATGTGAGCATTACATGAGAAACGAAAATGCCTGTTCTCTCATTCCAATCCACAGGAAGCTGGGAGAGGAGGCATCTTACAGGTATGATTATAAAATCTTGATTCTTCCTGGCTATGAATCACAGCTCTAAACATAGACCTGCATGTGTGCACATGCCCACAATTGTAGCAACTTCCCTGTTGGCTCAGAGAATTTGACTTCAACTTTTTATTTCTAAGAAATCACTGTTCTTTCCTATTCCTGCATGACTGAGTCACTCTGCCCTGCCCCCTCTGCTCCCTAAATGATAACAGAGCCAGATTTACAGAACTAAAGTACAGGGTATTTTCAGAACAAGCTGCCACTGGAAGCAAGCCCTCTTGATGGGAATCAAACAACCAGATCACATTTCAGGACAAAACTTCTCATCTAATGAGAAAGCAGTGTGCAAATCCTGCACCTTGATCTATGAATATTGAAACTTAACTAGAGGCTTTTTATTGAAGTGTTCTAGATAAATAAGAAATCTATTGAGGTCATTGATAGAAAAAGACAGAAAGAGGCAGGCAGACAGATAAACAGATAGATAGATAGATAGATAGATAGATAGATAGATAGATAGATAGATAGATAGATAGATAGATAGATAGATAGATAGATTTGGTTTCTATGTTTGGATATTTTTATTCAGCTGCTTAAGGATTTGATTTAGCTTCTATCTGTGTTTAAAAGAGAGTAAATGTTATATATTTTCAATTGTTTAGTATTATTCCATAGGCTACCCAATAAAGCACCCAGCCATGTGGCTACATGATAGCAATTAAGCATCTAATTACTTGATACTTAATATACAGCAATGTATGAAGTGTGCTATGGCTTGGTTATTTTTGTCCAAAATCCACAATTTAAATCTTAACCCTAAATGCAGCCGGGCTGGGAGTGGAATCTTTGGGGTGACGTTTGGATGTTTAGGCACCACCATGTTGAACAGGCCTTTAGAATGCGTGTCTGCCCTCTCCTGCACTTCCACCTTCTACTATGTGGTAATGCAGCAAGAAATGCCTTGGTCATGGACTTTCCAGCCTCTAAAACTATGAGAAGTAAGTTACAGCATTACAAAATGCCCTGTCTATAATAACAATATTACATCAACAGACTAAAACATGGTAGTATTGTCTCAAGAAAATTGGGCTGGTCAGGGGAGGAAGCCAAAATATTTGGTTATGACATGTCTACAGACAGGAACTTTTCAGAA